AAAATTGAGAGTGTCAATGATGTCTGGCGTGCTGTAAGTTGGTTTCTACAATAGTGAATCTCTACTGGCTTGTGCCCGGAGTTTTTACCCAGTTGGATTTCTCCGTCAACATGTTTATTGTGTTTTTACCGCTTTAATTTATTTACTTGTCAGTGGTAATCCAACATAGGTAGATAAATCACGTGAATTAATCTGGACAAACTATAATTTGTGTGACTTGTTGCATGAATTATTCAAAAAGTTTTTAATTTCGCAAGAACACCTATTCACCCCACCTCTAGGTGTTAGTTGGGTCGAACGATAGGTTTTTCAAATAATATATTTGTAACAAAAATGTCTATTTCAAATGCCTTTACATTATAGTTTCCAACAGCAGTGGTCCTGATAGATGTCGATGTCCCTTCTGTCGAGAAGATCAACAATTCTTTCGCGGGGAGATTCCCACTTGGCTTCCAAATAAGCCAAGGATCTCCACGGAGGAAGAGGCATTGAATTTTGCTGGAGAGAATACCTGGCTGCTTCGACCATAATTTGAAGGAACTGCTTCAGCTTGGTCATGGTGCCTACATAAATTGATGGAAGAGAATTCAAAAGTACATTGTAGGATTTGATAGCTCTCGCAATTTGAAAGTGGCTTCGGAAGTCAATGTCAATGATGTATCGGTCGGAGCATCCACTGATCACATCTATGAATTCGTGTTCACCTGCAGGTTTCACTAAACTCGTCAAAATCGAAGAGAAGATTATTCGAAACATTATAAGAAACTTCACGTAATTTACCTCCAGGAATTTTGCCAAAGCCATGCCACTTGGTTTCACATACAGCTGCATCATAACCAGAAGATTGCAACAACTTCACCAGAGAATACTGGATGGAGCTAGCATTGAAAGTGTCGGACGACTTCGATAATGAGAGAATTAGGGAATTCACAACCAGTATTAAGTCACTTTCATACTGGTCCGCGTGCTTACACATCTGTAATTTGAAGATTAATTCGACAAACAATGTGAATTTATGAACGTGCACAAGAAGCAGAACCCAGTAGTTTATTTTCCGTGAAGTTCAGATAGATCTAATCGAAACTATATACCAAGTACTGTACAGAGAATGGAAATGTCACAATCTATCAAAAAGAAAATGAAATTTATTCCTTTCCTGTCTGTGAAATAATTGGAGACGTGGCAGATTAGTTAGCATTTTGTTTTTCTGTGTGAATTGTACAGCTTTTCATTTTGTTAGTTAGTTGAAAACTAAACTCTATATATATCAGTAATGCGATTGAGTGAATTCACTATCACATTTTTGTTCTATCATTCTTATTTTCTAGAATTTGTTAAAATTTCCTTCAACGGCGAATTAGCCTACTTGCATTTATGAAATTGTGTATTCATTAAGCTGGTTCAACATGATATGGGAAGAAAAAAGGAACTGACCGAGATCTTGTCGGAGAGGAAAGAGAGGTCGGAGAAACTAGAATCACTGTCGCTGCTATACCAACTATCAGCTCCGGCACTGCCAATTTCACAGAAATCTTTCACCATAGTAGCCAAGTCATACTCACTTTCGGCACTATTACCAACAAACTCGCTACTGACGCTGCCATTTCGTCTATGCAACCAAACACTGGCCGACCAGTTGATACTTCCGGCTCCGACGGTTACAGGTGCACGGCTGTCTTGGCCCCACATCGGCCTCATAATATATTCTTGAATTTTAATCAAAATTTTGAGTTGGGTTACCTAAATTCTTTAGGACAGGTTCCTGATTAATGAATTTTGAGGAAATTGGAAGGATTCTTGGCAATGTGATGGCAGCTTCGACGGGCGAGGAGGGTTAGAATAGTATTTTATGCTGTTTATGCGTGTCGATTGGGAACTTGCATGGGGGATTCGAACTCCGTGGCCTATAGTGTTTAAGTACTATAATACCCCTGTAATAATTGAAATACTATCTCTTTGACTAACGAATCATATCATATTACAGGTGCGTTTGAGCCATATTTTTTATTAAAAATATATTTTGAAATAATAAATTGATAGAGATGTGTGGTTAAAATTAAGAAAAAAAATTGAATTTGGATGTAATATTATTTTATTGAAATGATATCAAATCATTGTTTAAAAATATATTATTTTTTTTCAAAGAATAAGGCTCAAACACGGCCTACGTCTTTGACTACTAAATCACGTCCTTATAATAAATCGAATCAAACTCCTTGTCAATCTCTACGAGTTTTTTAAAGGTCTGAAATGGCTGTTTAAATTTTGATATTATAAATACAATAATATTATTTGTATATCATGATTTACATGAGTAACGCTATTTAGCTTTACTGAAATTTCAACCCCAATTTAGGTGACATTAAATGATAGGTTTAATTAATTTCACCTTTCATTTTATATCACGTTAAGGTAAACTAAATTAGAATTTTAATCTCAATAAAATTAAATAACATTACTCTTTACTTATTGATGTAAAGAATGATGATGTGAAAGGGAGAGATATATATATAAAATAATAATAATAATAATAATAATAATAATAAAAAGTCAACTAACAAAATTCACATAATTATTTTTTACATTAATTTCTAAACCATCATGTACAAATAGTTTATTCTTACGAATAAACCTTAAAAGCAAAATGGAATTGCATATTGCACAATTTGGCAAAGGGGTATAGTTGTCAATTAACAGGTGGCCTTCCAGCAGTCAAAACGACGCGGCGCCTATCTCAGTCAAAAAGTTGAATTGGTACCAGCTGTTTTGGGACCCACACGTTCTGATCGGAACAAGTTCAAATTGACCGATTGACTTACCAAAACTTTTGGTCAATCGAGTTATTCTGGGGGAAAAAAATTAAATGGGTTAAAAATATTTTATGCTAGATTTAAAAATATCAATTGTTTTCTACTTTTGAATTAAATAAAATCATTTTTTTAATAACACAACTATCGTTTAAAATTTTTGTGCGAAGTATTATTATATACCAATAATATATTGGTAATGATTTAATTTTATGGGTTTTAAAAAACAACGAATTAAATTTTATTTAGTAAATTGAAAAAAAAATTAAAATTAAAACCAGTAGTAGAATAAGCGTCCTATCTGATCAATGTGGCGGTGGAAGGTGTCATGGATCTTGGATATGGGGCGGCCGGGCTATGTTAGAAAATTAGGCTACAGCCCATCATAAATTTTGAACCAAAAAGTCTTATGTTCTATAATTATGGCCGCCACCGTTATTATTATTGAAATTTCAAATTATATGTACTTCTTTTTCATTCTTCAATTACAAACTCTTCAATGTTTCATTGCACTCATTCACACACATTCAAGCACACAGCCAAACCCACCCCACAACCATCGACGACCCCACCCTCAACCACATCAGCCTCGTGAAAGATTCTAACCCAAATTCAATCTCATTCACTATTTTTGCTATCAACGGAAATTGAAAACTATCCTTATGGAAAAAGAATGAACTCGACTAAATGAAAACAAAATTGCAATTGAGAGGCGGGTAGGGTCGGAATTTATAATGATTGCTTTCTTGAAAAAAAAAATTCCAATTGAGTGAGTGATTTTCAATGTATGGCTCGATTTTTTATTTTAGGGATCCGGTGATTGGAGATTTTGGATTCTGCAATCTTGGAGCAATTTCTCGAAAGTGATTATAGTTGGGTGGCTGGTAGAACAAGGAGTGGTGTAATGATGATGTGTTGGTGTGATTGATGTTTATGGTGGTGGTGAAGGAGGGGGGCAATGGAGATGGCAAGGGTGATAGTGGCGACAACGATAAATGTTACAAGCGATGGTGTTTACGGTGGTGGTATGGATTGGGGTGGAAGGGGTATTTGTATTTAACAATGAATGTTACAAGTAGTGATGACGATGACAATAGTGACAGCATAACAACCTATGTTACATGTTAAAGTGCCGAATGAGTGTGAACTTCTCATTGATTTGGTAATTGTGGATACAATGCATATATGTACAAAAATAATAAAGTCTAAATAAGGCATTTCACAATTACAATGGAGAAAATCTCGATTACACCTAACATGGAGATGATCATGGGAGATAATCATGGTAGAATGGCAGGATATACGTAATATTACGAGTTGTTTGTGACGATAATGTTAACGATGATAGCGAACATAATAAGGTATGTTACAACTTACAAGTCGTACTAGCTATAAGGTGACTAGAAGACGTAACGCAATTTCTTAAAATAATAATAGGCATGGTGGTCATACAACAATATAACACCACGTGTTACAAAATGCGTGTAATGAATATTAAGCCCCTGTTTAACAATCATTATTTGAAATTTTTTTCCTTCTATATATTTATTTTTAATCAAATATTCAAATATTTTGTAAGTAAATTCAAAACTTTATAATACTTTTTAACCGCGTATTCTCCTAAAATTTACCATTCAAAACTTTATATATATATATATATATATATATATATATATATATATATATATATATA